TGTGCTGTAAACAACCGAAAACTGCTCTAAAAAATAGTCTATTCTTCTAAAAATTTAAATTCAGTATATTCAGTTGTTATTCATCAGTCCCATCTCTCACTGACAAAAACCACACAAGGCACACACTTGTAATTCCAGCAACTCAGGAGGCTGAGGCAGGAGGATCACAAATTTGAGGCCAGCTTCAGCAACTTAGCAAAACTCTATTTCAAAATAAAAAATAAAAAGGACTGGGGATGTGGCTCAGTGGTAAAGTACCCCTGGGTTCAACCCTCAATACCAAAAACAAACAAACAAAAACCCCAGGGACATTCTTCCATTTTCAAACTGGAATTTTGAAATAAGAAAGTATACTTTATGCTAATATTTTAAAAGATAAAGCCACAGAGAAAATGCTGAGATTGCTATTAATTCATGGTCCTTTATAGCCAAAAATGTTCACCTTTTTTTCCCTCTGTGTCCCAAAAATGACTAGGAAAAACTTTTCATGTCTGTAAAATATTTAATCTCTCAAGACCCACAAAGAAATATGCTCCTCTTCTGGCCTGCGCTCTCTTGAAGTGAATTCCTGCTGAAGAAGATGGAGGAGGGGCCCCTCCACTATTAGGCACAGACCAGTGCTACCCTTCCAACAGGGGAAGGGGAGGGAAATAGGGCCATGGGCTCCAGGAAAGGCTGAAGCTGCCAAGGAAAACCCCAGACGGTAGGAGGTGGCTTGATCTGGGGGAGGGTGGATGTGCTGTGGGTGTGGATGCAAGTCCAGGGTGCTCCAGAAGGGAGGGTCCAAGAGATAACATTCAGGTCCTCACAAAGGACATGCATGCAGAACCAAGTTCTCTACAATACAGCCCTTCATTTGACAGTTTCTGTACAGAAAAGGAGATGAAAAACTATGCAGACCTCAGGGAACATACTGGGTAGAACAGTGTTCTATGTGTGCACAGGAGGTTGAAGGAAAAGTAAAATGTAAAATAAAACAGACGAGCCCAAATTTACAAAGAAAGAAGGCCCAATTTTTTTCAAAAGCTGATAACTTGAAATAAAAAAGTATACTTTATGCTAATATTTAAACTGAAGGCACACAGAAAATGCTGAGATTGCTAATTAATTCATGGTCCTTTATAGTCAAAAATGTTCATCTTTTTTTGCTCTGTGCCCCACAAATGACCAGGAAGAAACTTTTCTAATCAATAACATACCTGCTAACATCTAATCCTACTAGTATAAGAATCAGCAACAAAACAATTTCTTCAAAGGGCTATTTTTTTCCCCACAACTACATCCACAATCATAGAAGAAAACAACAACAAAGTCTCTTATACCCATCTTCGAGGATATCCAATAAATCCTTTGGTCATTGTTAGCCAGCCTTTGACTAAGGACTGTCTTCTAATGTGCATTATCCTATTTATAAGGTTTAGTTCTCCAAAAAATGAATCACAGCTTGGTAAATCCAATTTACTTTGAAGTGTCCTTAGAATTCAGCCAATAATTCTTGAGCATTTTTTACTCTCACTTTTGGCACTTTAAGGAGCCAAAAGGAGATAACTAAGAAACTTCAAGGACATAAAAATCTACTCAATTTCACCAAGCAACTGGCCTAACAGACCCTAGGGAGCAGGGGTAGGAAGGAGGTTAGCAACTGCACCCAGGTGAGCCAGGTCAGTAGGTCTTACTATTTCATGACAACTCCTACAACTTTCAATTCTCACTATATCATTTCAAACCCTGGCCTTCCACATCTACATAAAAGAATTCTAGGCCGTTAATAATGCCAACTGGGGCTGGGATTGTAGCTCCGTGGCAGAGCTTCACCTAGCATGTGTGAGGCACTGGGTTTGATTCTCAGCACTACACATAAATAAGTAAAATAAAAGTCCATTGACAAATAAAAAAATATTTTTTAAAAATTCCAAGCTGCATTAATATGTTACAAAGCTAATGACAATGGGTGCAAACACACTCCCATTATAAACAGGTAAATATTATTAATCTGTACACATATGTGTGTATGTATGTATATACATATACATACATGTACATATGTATATATATATATATTATATGTATATGTACATACATACACATACGTATATGGAAAGAAAAACTACACACAAAAGCCTGAACATGTAGCAAGTAATCCTAGGATGACAGAGGTGAAACTCAAGACTGGTGCTGGAAAAGCAATGTTCTTTCCTTAAATAGGTTCTGGACTCTACTACAAATGTTTGCCCTTTACATTGCAATAGTTAAATGTTACTTCAAATACATGCAATCTTGGAAAAACTTAAAGTAAGCTTTATTCTTGTTAGTGCCAAGTTATCTAAGAAACTTGTCTCCATTAGCCACCTAAAAGCTGTAGGACCATCTTCTGTCTGCCTCTCCCATTTTCACAATCTCACTCTCCTTCTCCCTCTTTCTCTCTGTAATTGGTATTCTACTAACTTCTCCACCTCCCTCTCACTCACATCCTCAGTCCATATTAATTATTAATTCCAACTCCAAAGGTTTGATAGAAATCCTGCAAAGGATGACCATCGTGCCCCAGAGATGAGCTGTCTAGTGGGGCACCCACCTTCCTTTGGGAGGCACAGCCTCCCAAAGCTATGAGTATCCACCTATGCCCAAGCAAAAGAGCAGAACACATATTAGGTCCAACATTCCCCTTGCCTTTGAGTACTGACCAAGAGTTCAGGTACTACAAGGTATGTTACTCCAGAGACAAGCAAGGGATCTGGGTGCATCCTCCTTGATCCTGACCCCTAAATCCTTCTACCCTGTGGCTCCTCTCTGTTACTTTTCCTCCCATTGCCACTCTGAAACACTCTGCCAGAACCTGTTTTGCCCTATGGAAAGCAAAGTTTGGAAACTGTTCTAAGTATACACTATGAACAACCAGCCCAAAAAGAAAAACACAATACTGGTTCAATTTTTTACAATCTTTTGACATTACAATGGTGCAAAAGCCAGTGCAAAGGTTACACACTTTTGGTAAAAACCATAAGGGCTGGGACATAGCTCAGTGGCAGAGAACTTGCCTAGCATGCATGAGGCCCTGCACTCAATCCCCAATGCTGGGGGGGCGGGGGACAGTAGAAACTATATTTTGATCTTTTCCCAAGCTAGCAATATGGGATATGATCCTCTCAATTTTGCACAGAAAAAGCAGCTCCCAGACAGCCATACGACCCAAGAGTAATAAACAACTGGTACTGCACACAGTACTATGTTACTAAGCTATGATGTTCAGTAGGTTGAGTGTATTAAATGCATTTGATTTAGGAATTGTTCTATTTATGTTGGATTTATCAGGACATAAGTCAAGGAGCATCTTTACCTTGTCCTTTGTTCATTACAGAACCTATAGCTCCAGTAACACAGAGACAGGCACACCTACCTGTTTCCCTGTTGTGCATTTCTCCTCCCTACAATGGCAAAGACTCATGCAATCTTTAAGAACCCTCTCCCTCATTTTTGAGAACCAGAAACAAACTGCCCACAGAGCTTAAGTGACTTGTTCCAAAATTTCACTAATTTTAGATATGCAGCTGAGCAACTTTAGTCTAGTGGTTAAGCACAGCAAACTGAGTAACTCGTACAAGCTTAGCAAAGATGGTACTACATGGCAAGGCCATATTTCATGAAACCGTGGTAGAGCCTAAAGACAATCTCAGCACATATACATTAGTCCCACTTACCCAGAGTTTCACTTTCTGCTATTTCAGTTATCTGAGGTCAACTATGATCCAGAAACATTCAATGGAAAATTGAATAAGCAAATGATTCTCAAGTTTTAAATAATTTTCATTGTTATAATTGCCTTATTTTATTATTAGATATTATTAATTGTATAGAACCTAATTTATAAACTAAACTTTTCCACAGGTATGAATATATAGGACAAAAATGTTTATTCCAAATATACACATTTACATATACATGTAGGGTTCAGTACTACCCTAAGTTTCAGAAATTCACTTGGGTCTTTAAACCTATGCCCCACAGATAAGGGGGGATTACTGTATTTAACTGCCATAAACTCCAAAATTCCACAGATCTTTGGTGGATTTCTTAGAGCTTCTCTGCATTCTAGACCAGCACCATCAAATGAAACTTTCTGAGAAACAGAAATGCATCATCCAATATGGCAGCTCTTAGCTATATGTGGCTAATAAACACTCAAAATGTGGATCATAGGAGAAACCAAATGTTTTCTTTTCATTTCTTAATAATTTATTTATTAAATAATTAACTATGGCTGGAGGCTTTCATAGTGAATGGTGAACTCCAGACCACTGAGGTTCCTGAAGCAATTTGGAGACCCAGTATACCAAGCACACTGAGCTTGGGAGATAGATGGACTGATTCATATGCTTTCTAGTTCAGTCATCTTGACCATGAACTTAACCTCCTACACCTCTGTCTTCATGAAGTTAAAAAGGACTACTACCTCCTACTTAAGAGAATGACTCTGGGAGGAAGGAAGACCAAACTGGCACATATGAAGCCCCTAGCACAGTGCTTAGCACATGGGAGCCTGCATGACACACTTTCCCTGTTCCTTCTCAGGTTCATCCACATCTGACACTTAGGTTTTGGCCTTTTCAGACACTTTTCCCAAAGGGATGCTGCCCTTGCTGACGAAATAAACTTCCAGTTCTAAGAAACGAGGATCTTTAGCACCTACCCAACTAGACCCCCAAACAGAGGGGTGGACCAATATGAAACATGAACAATCTCACTCCCCCCTGACACTATGTAATTGTGACTATTAACTATCAACAGGAAAGTAAAGTTGCTGAACCTTCACTTCTAGAAGCTATGGCCATCCCCTTGTGAGGCAGACAAAAGCAGAGGGAGAATTCCTTACGAAACTCCTCCAAGTTGTAAATGTTATAGGTGACCCAGGAGGGTCCTGAGTCTGTTTTTATGGCCACAGCACTTCTTCCTCATGCCAGACCTCAATGTGAACCCCAGCCCCCGCCCCCCCCCCAGGTTACCTGAGGCCGCTGTTGTGGGTGTACTGGCTGCTGGTGGCTGTGAAGAGCTGCTGCTCTCATTCATGAGACATTGGTTGCCACCGTTGTTCTCTCTCTTGACAAGCAGCTCAGCTGCACTGGGCAGCGGGATGGGGTGGCTGATACCCAGTTCCTCCTCCTGCGCCTGCTGCCTTCTCAGAGCCACCTGGAAGCACAGGACAGTAAATCATTCTCCAGCACTCTAGAATCACCAGTTCCATGGATAGGCTCTGAACATAAAGAGGTTTCTCATTTCTCTTACCTGGCTGTCCAGGTAACTAGGATGTGCAGCCAAAGTTGAAAAATGATATAAAGACAGGGTTATCTGGCCCAGAGTAGATGTCCCCAAAACACATGAGTGTGCAAACTATCAGGAAAAACTCATCCAAAGAGGGGAGTTCAATCTCAAGAGTAGGAAAACACACTGATGGATTAGGAAGACCTAGACTCCTTCACCCTACAAATATGTAAAAGACCACTGTACTGGAAACAGTGACCAGTAAGCTTACATTAGATCACAGATTCCTCCCCATTTAAAAGGAGAAACAAGAAGCAAGTAAGCATCGACTACAAAATAGGACGAGAAGCAAACACCAATCTACAGCAAAAATGTAAGAATCAGCCTGCGTAGAAACGCAGCAGAGACCTGAACCATGGAATGAGTAGCACTCACACAGGGAAGGAAAAAGGGATAAGAATAATATGGAACAGAGCAGCTAGGAAATGAAACCCCACAAAACCCTGTTCCCCAGGGATGAGGGAGCATGTGGAGAAGCAAGGAAGAGCAAGGAGGCTGGAATCTGGTGTTGGAAGTCCCTGGAAGAAGAGGTGGGAGGTGGGGAGCAAGGGAGAGGACAGGTTTGGGGGGGGGGGTCTAAGCAGGGAAAGAGAGACAGAATTGAGACAGGTAAGAATCTGACATACTTAGGAAACACTTCAAGGGGCTTCTTATGTTTATAATCTTTTTAATAACATTGTTAAAAATTGGGGGGAGGCTTAAAACAAGTTGTATTTTTGTTTACTACCTGTAACAAAAAGAGACTTTCTATTGAACTTGACTCTTGGCGGTCATGAAAGGAGAAAAATGAAGCACCCTACACGTTAAAGGCTCAAAGACAAGAGAAAAGGTAAAATCAAAATGGTAAATCAGAAATCCAGCTACAATCTATGTATTGGCTTAGGAAAACTATATAGTCCAAAGTTAGCTGATTCATGTGGAAGTAAATTTCACTCATAACCAAGAGTCTTCACCTTAGAAAACTAAACCTTGGATAATTATTTAAGCATATATCTTGGATTTTCTGCTATTAACCAAGGGCTTGGAAACAGCATTATCAATAACTGCCCAGAAGTAAGTTTTTTAAAACCCTGCAAACCTCTAAAATATTAATACATACTTGTACCTTGATTTACACAAACCTCATGCATACCCAAAAGGCACAGCTTATTTAGTCCACAAACTAAGGATGCCCTTACAAAGATCTTCTCCAAGGTTTGTTAGTGAATATTATTACACAGGAAAGGGGCTCGCAATGGATTGCAAATGCAGTTGTTTCACTCATCTAATATCAATTTCAAACTATTTTAGAATAACTAGAAAGTAATTGCTATATAGATTTTTTAAGGGCTCATTAGCATAACACAAATCCTCTGGTACAAAAAATCCTGAAGTTTCATATTCTAAAAGTAATCTTGAGTCGTTTTTGTTGTTAATTCAGCTGTCTCCTCAAAATTAGTCCCTCTAAAAAGGGTTTTCAAAATTAATGCCCCTACTCGTATATTTTTATTACATTATGAGGAAAAATCCCTCGAGTATTGATTGCTCCACGTTAAATATTTAAGCCAATGACCAAATGCCCGGAATACTTTCCTGCCTACAAGTATATTTGGATGTTTTTTTAATCTCATTGTGATGCACCTTATTGTTACATCCAGCATTACAATTCACTACAGATTAAATTAAATTCTATGAAGAAACTACCTATATTTTCATTAACTACCCTTATAATATCTGAAGACAAAACCCTTGTAATTGTAAATGTTTTAATTTCCCTGTGCTTAAAACTCTGATGCACGTAGAAAGTAAACGATCTTTAAGCATTTGTGCAGTTATGTTTTTTTAAAACTATTTTACACATTTCTAATCAAAAGCAGCACACCACTGGAAAACACTTCTTTGGTATCATTTCATTTTAAATAATCTATCTTTAAAAGATGAAACAACTTTTAGCTGGAAAGAATGTGTATTATTACCTTTTAAAAACCTTTTAGGAAACCAAAGACGTGAACTTTCGTTAACATGCTAAATTACTAGCGGGTACTGTTGAAGCCATTAAAAATTAAAAATAAAAATTAACGGCTGGCTTCAAACCCAGGCAGTTTTTTTTTTAATTCTTAAATATAGTCAAAACATTTACATAACTTGGGGCCAGACAGCGAATTTTAAAATACTAGCATTTCCACGGTGCTCAAAATGGCTGAGGCGATCGGCCGGGAGCCGCCGGGGGCGAAGACGCCAAGTGCATCATGAGCAGGAGACCACGCCGCGCGGCGTCCATCACAGGGACTTTTCCAAAAAAACAAACGCGGCGTCGCGTTCCGCAGCTACCCAAGGGTCTCCCCTGGCCCCTACAAAGCGTCCCTCGCGGCGCTCCAAAGGACCCTACTTGATTTAAGCCCAACTCAGCGGGGAGTAGTCCCTGGGACCCTCGAGGAGAGCGAACCCCGCAACTCTGTGCTCTGTGGCGATCGCGCGGACTGCCCAGCCAAGCGAACCCCTCGGCGATCGGCTCTGAGAGCGAGGCTGGAGATCCCAGCCGCCCCCACATTGCGGAGCGAACCCCGCAACTGAGCTGAAGCGCGGGTCCGGAGATTGTGGAGAATCCCTAGCGGAACAAACTCAACTCTGCTTGGAGGGCAGGGATGGAGATTTGGGGGCCCCGCCGCTGCAGCGAGCCCCGCAACTCTGGTGCAGGATTGGGGTGATCTTAAAAGCAGGGTGAACCCCGCATCTCCGCAGGCGGGAACTGGGACTCGTTCCCGCCTACCCAGAGTGGCTTCGGCCCTGGCTGGGAGTCCCGCGTCCCCGGCGCGCCGCGAACGTCGGCGCTACTAGCCGGATCATTCCCGATCCCGGGCCCGGCTTAACTCCGGCCAAGTCGAAGGACTTTATCCCTGAAGCTCAGAACTGAACCCCCCTTTCCGGACACCCGCACCCACCTGCGCGGCCATCACGCGCTGTCTCTCGGCGATCAGATTGCACTTTTTGCACTGGCAATCCCGCCACATGCAGAAGCGTTTGTGGCCCTTGAGCGGCGAAGCGTAGCCGTGGTTCCTGCACCGAGCGCACTTGGGCAGCCTCGGGGACTTCTTGCTCGAGGCGCCCAGGCCCGACGCCCCAGAGCCGGAGCCGCTACCGCTGCCCCCGGCGCCTGATCCGCCACCAGCGCCCATCAGCGCCCCAGAAGCTTTCCCGAAGCCCCCGGACTTGCCCTGAGGCGGTGCCCCGGGGGCGTGCGGGGTCTCTGACGGTGCCGAGGGCTTGTTGAAAGCGTCGTCGTTGGGCATGTTGCCCCAAGGAGCGGCAAAAGGACTCACACCGCCTCTCACGCCCGAAGACGGCTGCAAGGAAGCACCCAACAGACGGCTAGGCTCTAGAGGAGGAGGTGCAGGAGGCGTGTATGCAGCAGCCAGAGGTGCAGCCCGAGTGGCGAGGTCGGGACACGCAGCGCCGGGAGTGGTGGGGGGTTGTGCCCTTTTTTTTTCTTTTGGCGCGCGGCATAGAACTTTTGGATACTTTTCAGAATGTTCCCGGGATTGCAGAGGCGGGAGAGGGCGCGAGGGAGCTCAGCCACGCCCATTGTCCCCCAACTCCAGCCACTGCGCTCCGGCTGAGTGCAAGCTTGCACATCAGCTGCACGCAACCAGGGCGCTGCTGCAGGGATGCTGCAATCGCACTGGGGTGCAGAGCATGACCTCATAGCTCTCTGGGGTACCGGGGGCCAGGCTGCCAGACAGAGCTCGCTGCACGGAGGAAGCTAGCCTCCCAGGTCAGGAGTGGAGTCCAGCGTGCTACTTGGAGGAGGTGCAGAAACCTGTCGGGTAGTCTAGCTCCCTTCCCCCTTTCCCCTCCCCCCAGTGAGAACCATTCTTCAGGTTCAATAGAGGAGACCTTGGCAGCAGCAAACTCAGAAAGTGGTTTATTTCTCCCTTGATAATAAGGTTGAAAGTCTGAGAGAAGAAATCTCTACATCTATGTCAGCAGATAAGATCTTCACTTGGGGTTGAAGTGCGCCCAAAACTTTAAAAGTTGGAGCTCTTCTCCATTTATCCCCTGTTTTCATCTGTTCCCAAGATTTCTACCTCCTGGCCCCAGATAACTTTTCCAGTCTACATAGTTCCAGCCCTAGTTTCTTCTCACTTCTTGCATTTGAGGCAGCTTCATTTGGACTCTGAATGGGGGTGGGAGGATTACACACTTGTACACCTTTATCAAAACTCATTCTACATTTAAGATCTGCACGTTTTATGTGTTTAAGTGTACATTTTTAAAAACTCCGTGATCTTACCTTTCCCGAGTTCCCACCATGAACTCCCCATCCCCTATCTCCTGCCACATTTGTCTCCTCTGCACTTGCACAGCTAATCCATCCCTGGGCCTGCTGATCAGTTCTTCCCATACATCCATGTGACCAGTCCTTCATCTAGAGTCTCAATCTGCAGTAGCTTCCAACAGATCTCTCCATTTCTCTTTCTTCTGAGGTATTCTAAGTACACAGCCCCAGGCCCCTTCAGTGCCTAGCTATTGTTTTCCACCTGAAAAACAAAAGTTGAAGACCTCAGGCTAGTCTTAAAGCACTTTGACTCATCTCTGCATTTCTTAGCCTCCTATTCTACCAGCTTGGAACAGCTCTTTGTTGACCTGGTACAGCCCCTTTGTTCATCACCACTTTTCTAACCTTGTATTGACAATTGTGCTTGGGGCTAATTTACACCCCTCTCCCACTTTCCTTGCTTTTCACCAGTTAGTACTTGCCTTGAATATTCTGGGCCACAGCCTCAGGGGAGTAGTTCTCAAAAGGAGCATAGCCACCTCACTTGGCTTCTCAATTGAAAGGGTTGTTCAGTGGCCATTTCTGTCCACAGTTGGGAATGTTCAGCACTGAGATCTGAAGTCCCTTCACTTGCCTTTCTCCCATTCTAATTCTGAGGCCTCCTACACAATCCTCAGAGTGCATTTTCTCCATTAGTGTTAGCTCTCTGAAAATTATTTCCTTCCAGCTTTACACAATGCCACGCACCCTGACCATGAAGTCAGTGAAGCTCTACTCCTGACAGGGATCAAGATACAACCATACACCCATGTTGGAACCTCTTAGATGATAACCAACATTTTATTCAGGGACATCCTTCTCCCTTAAAGTCTTCTATTAAAACACATAAGCCAATTGCCATTATCCATTTTTTTTTTAATCTACGCTTTAGTACCTGAGCTGAAGTTGAATCTTTCCCAAGGCCCAGTCTAGCTTTAGACAATAAAGTAGATGCAGGAAGCAACAGCTGTCACATCCCAGATCATGAGGAAAAATACGTTTCTTATAAACAGAATCTGTGATGGAAGGATTTAAACCTATAGAAAATGTGGTGCTAAGAACATGTGACCAAGGTATTAAAACATAAAATGAAGTAATGAAATTAATAGCCAAGTGAAGTTTTTATTTACAAGGCACAGAGGAGGCACCAGACAGGAGATGATCCATAAAGGAAGTAGGAAGACCCCCCAAAATAAATAGATTCCTACTGGACATTTTTAATAGCCTCACCCTGTTATCTCCTTTTTCCTCTTTCCAGAAACCAAAGTCCAAATATGATCATGCAGATCTGTACTCAATGACTTAGAAATATGCCCAAGACATACTGATTAGTGGGGGAAGAAGCCAGTTTTAAAATATGTCTTAAATAAAAATTCTTAGATATGAGACCAAAATCACAATACAAAAAAAAAATAAACTTCAACAAAATTTAAAACATGCTTCAAAAGCCACAATTTAAAAAGTGAAAAGCCATAGTCTGTGAGAAAATATTTAGAAGTTATATCTGATAAAGAACTGTACCCAGAATATATTTTTAAAAACTATTTTAATTCAATAATTTAAAATCAGGAACTGGGGATATAGTTGAGTGATGAGTATCTACTCAGCATGGACAAAGCCCTGGGTTGGATCCCCAACACCACACACAAACAAAAATAACCAGAAAAGTGCCTATTTCACCAAAGAAAAGGCTTGAATGGCCAATAAACAATTAGAAAGATGGTCAATACTATTAGTTATTAGAGAAATGCAAATCAAAACCATTGCAATGGGGCTGGAGTTGTAGCTAAGTGGTTATGCGCTTGCCTAGCATGTAAGGCACTGGGTTCTATCCTCAGCACTGCATAAAAATAAATAGACATTGTGTTCATATAGAATTTAAAATATATATTTAAAAACCATTGGAATATCATTATTCAAATATACAATGGCAAATATTGGCTAGAATGTAGAGAAACTTGAATGTTCATAGATTATTGATGGGATTGTAAAATTATACAGTCATTTTGAAATACATACCAAATGACCCAACAATTCCACTCCTCTGTATTTACCCCAGAAAAATGAAACAATCCAAATGTCTATAAATGGATGAATAAACAAAGAAAATGTGGTATATCTATATAATGAAATATTATTCAGCCATAAAAGGAGTATAGGAGTGATATATGCTGCAGCATGGATGAAATATGACAATGTAATACTAAGTAAAAGGTATTATCTGATTTGTGTGTGTGTGTGTGTGTGTGAACTACTGGGAATCAAACTCAGGGCCTCTCACATGCTAGGCAAGTTCACTACCACTGAGTTATGCCTCCAGCCCCTCTGATTTTTTTTTTAACACACAATAGGCATTACTTTCACTATCAGAAAAAAAATGCATCATTTTATTGATGAGGCAGTACATGGCATATTAACTGAATGCTTAATTTTGACCCTCAGTTAAGAGACCTTAGGAGAGTTATTTAATCACTCTGTGACTCAGTGTCTTCATCTGTAAAAGGGAAAGAGGATAATAATAATGCCTACCTCTGAGAGTTTTTAGGAAGACTAAGTTAATACTTATGAAGTGCTTAGAAAGGTGTCTGTCTGTTGTTGGTATTTCCACATTGGAAAGAAAATAGGAGAAAGCAAGGTACATATGCACACACATCTACAAATTTGAAGAACCCGTGGGGAGGGAAAGCTATTTTACAAGGCACTAGTGATAAATTCTATCTGCTTTGCATTTTGTTGAGGGAAAGCTGTTTTTGCCCTGGATCTTGGTGAAACAGGTCAATGGAAAATTCTCTGGATTGGCTCTGTCTCTGTTTCTCTTCCTCTACACACACACACAAGTATGTAGTGAGATACTCTATGAATTGAAATAGTCAGCTTTCCATGTCCCAATAGTATGCAGCTGTGAGTCAGCTGGTGTTCAGCGGTATGTGATCAGTGTCCCATGACTGATATGAGCAGTAGGAATCAAGGGAGAAGTGGGACAAGTAGGGCCTGAGCACTTAATGAGGGACTTCACTTGACATGGAACACAACTACCATGTAGCTGCACAGGATCTGAACAGGCATAAAGAAGACTGAACTACCCTGTAGTCTCAGGAGATATGCGTAGGCATAAAGGTGAAAACAGGACATTCTATCGTGGGAACAGCAAATTGAAAGCTAAGCATTGGATGCCAGCCTGTGGGTTGGGGAAGAAGATGCCGACATGCCAGTCTGGAACAGAGGAGTCAAGCTGGAGCCCAGCAGGAGATAAGGTTGGGAAGATAGCATGGCACCTTGCCTACTAGTGGGGAATTTGGCTTTTATTCTGTAGGCAAATAGAAAATGATGGAGATGTTTGTCCTTGAGGTGTTTGAGAAATGAAAGTATCATTTCTACCAATCACTCTGTCTATCATATAAAAAGTGATTCATTGGGTTGGAGTTGTGGCTCAGTGGTAGAGCGCTTGCCTAGCATGTATGAGGCACTGGGTTTGATTCTCAGCACCACATATAAATAAATGAATAAAATAAAGGTCTATTAACATCTAATATATGTGTGTGTGTGTGTGTATATATATAATGTGATTCATCATCATGGATAGATTGGGGCTAGGGTGCTAGGGAAGGAAGCCAGAGCTTTGTGCACACTAGGCAAGTTTTCTACCACTGGGCTACATCTCCAGTCCTCATCACTGGTAATTGATGCTGATTGTAGCTTGGATTGAAGGAACAGGAGGAATCTGAAAGCAGATAATGCTGGCAGGGACCTAGTTGTTCTGGAAGATGGCTATACCTGAGGTTACAATGGTGAAACCTGTACTGTAGCCACCTTTCTCTATGCATTCAAGTTTCCAGTAGTGATGGGAAGATGAAGGAAACATAATTCTGCTTATCATGACAGTTAGGAATACAGGTCTTACTGTCAGACTGCCTGCGTCTGAGGCCCAACTTGGTAATTCCTCAGGTATGTGCCTGTGGGAAAGTCACTCACCCTCTTCGTGCCTCTCTTTCCTCATCTGGAAATTGGAAATAACCTAAAAATCATTGTGAGGACACAATGGTTGGTGAATGTGGAAAGCTTTCAACAGTGCCTTGAGAATGAGTGTTCTCCAAGGGTGAGCTATTATTT